AGGAATTTCTTATTGTGAACCGAAAACCATCTGTTCGTAATAATAGCTCTTGAACTAATAGAGATATTGCCTCTAATGCGAATTTAATGGAGCAACTTCAAATGTTCCTCACAGAATGCTTGCACAAAATGCCTCTGAACATCGACGAATTATAAGATTTCAGCTTTTTATCGTCGCGTAGTTGATTACTCATTGCAAGAATTGATATCCTCTTTAAAAATTTATTGATCAATAAATGTCTTCAATTTCCGTAAACAATAAATACAAATTTTACTGCCAATGTAGTATCTTCTCTTTTAGTAAAATACACGAAAAAGTAAAAATTAAAATATGCTTATTGGCAATTACCATAATAAATATAGTGCCCAGCATTTATCTTAATAGAGTCTTTAATTCCTTTTTAATACTGAGCGCAGAGGCAATGGCTACCATAAAACTCGTATTGGATTATTTTGGAATTCCGCGGTGCCGTGTTTATCATCAGAACATAACACGTAAAAATCTTTCCAGATGCATGAAACGCGGCTGGTAAGACACGGCAGGTCCACCCAGAGGGCCTCCTCAAGCTTAACCGGAAACGCGATGCGTTTTCTGAATTCGATCTCACGGTTAATTGATTTTTTGACGTGGTTTTAATCAAAACAGAGCTGCCCAAACTCTCATTCCAATTCATATATTAATTTTCGTATTTTGAATATAAAGAAATCAGATTTTCTCTCTAACAATCCTACGACGAAGTATTTTTGAGCAAAATAACATAACCAGCTTTAGTTTCTCTCATTGTGCAAAAAAAAAAAAAAGTTACGTTTTTTTAAAGTCTGAAATGACCGAGCGTCTAAACACATGTGTAGAAGAATGACGAAAGAAAAAGAGTGTTTTTATTGTGTGATGCTGTATTTGTCTGAATCGAAGGTGCGAGGGGCGGGCACGGACGTGTCAATGCCCCGGTGCGGGAAAAGCGAGGGAGAGTGCACGGGGGGGGGAGAAGGGGGGGGGGCTCCGCTGCCAGAGGTGTAATCGTCGCCCTTGCCGATCGCCCTCCAACTGCTTTTGCCGCCGCCGCCGCCTCAAAACCAACAATTTGACCTCGCGGCGCAGACATCTGAAACACCGGCTGGGCGGCTTCGCATCATCCACAGCGACCACTTTGACACTGGCACCGACGCTTCAACTCTGGACGTATCAAACATGGCCTTTCATAATGGCCATGAAAAACCTTTAGCTCATCTTTCAGTTTCCACCTATTTTTATAAAGCCAATTTTTTATTTCACCCCAACCTGTTTATAAAAATGCAATTAGGTATGCGGATGTCGAAAAAAGAAAACCACGAAAAAAATAACGAATTTGATGTAAGCGCTCACTAGAAAGGATAAAGTTAAATTCTAGAAGGGTATTGCCTACTTAGGTAAATTTATTTTCCATCATTTTAGTTGGAAAACTGCTTCCTGTGCGTTTTGCGGCTGTGAAACTATTTTAAAACATGTCAAAACAGACTCAACTGATATTGACATTGACAGCTGACATTTTAACAATCAAATTACTACGGCCCTATTACGGGAGAACTGCTACTGTCGGGTGCTGAATCATCGGGCTATCTGTCCCCGCCCCTTCTCACCCTGTCGACGGCGATCACTTCTGCGCTTCTATTTTCCATACAAAACAAAATCATGTTACCGATTAATGTTTTAGCATGTATTCAAGTTTAACAGACCCCAATTATAACTTCACCAGTGTTTGCGTTAATAGAATGGGTAATATAGTTTTATTCAAATATTTCGAACATATAGTACCTCTATGAAAAAAAAACATTAAAAAGTTCAAATTATTGCCAGAACAGGTAATTGAATTCTCAATTCCGATTTTTTACTTTCATCTTATTATAAATTAATGAAGAGTTAAAGGTAAAGTAAATAAATGCCGACCATGAAAATAAAGAGCAAACTAGTATATAAAACCGGAGCGGATCCAGAGACAAATTTTGGGAAGGGAAATTATAAATGTTTTGGTCGAATGTGTCATTACAGATTTGGTAAAATGTCGCAGACTACACTCAGATCATGCTGCAATACGTTTTTATTCGTTTTAATGATTATCCGAAAATATTTTTGCTTGAAAGTTTTGTGACAAGTTAAAATTTGTAATTGTAGAAATAGAGGGGGATTTCCTTCACTCTCCCCCCCTCCCAGTGTATCCGCGCCTGAAAAAATAGAATATGTGTACATAGTCATGTACTTCACTGTAATATATATTTTAAATATTTGCCATTGCCTTTCTGTAAAGCAATTATTTTGAAAAAGGATTTATCGAATTCACAGGATGCATTTATTGGAAACCTTTCTGTTGCTTATTCTTGTAATTGTAATTGTAAATTCTCACATCTCTTTTAATGTCACCTAGAATGGAGAGCATTTAACAGGAAAAGATTGTCAA